TGGGTACGCCACGGGCGGATTCAAATTAGACCTCGCCATCCCTGGGGGGCTGCGATCTGTGAAACTGTCGCCACTTTCGAGGCCTGCTGGGGGGCCCAGCACAGTTACGCCACGGGCGGATTCAAATTAGACCTCGCCATCCCTGGGGGCTGCGATCTGTGAAACTGTCGCCACTTTCGAGGCCTGCTGGGGGCCCAGCACAGTGACGCCACGCGCAGATTCAAATTAGACCTCGCCATCCCTGGGGGGCTGCGATCTGTGAAACTGTCGCCACTTTCGAGGCCTGCTGGGGGGCCCAGCACAGTGACGCCACGCGCAGATTCAAATTAGACCTCGCCATCCCTGGGGGGCTGCGATCTGTGAAACTGTCGCCACTTTCGAGGCCTGCTGGGGGGCCCAGCACAGTGACGCCACGGGCGGACCCAAATTAGACCTCGCCATCCCTGGGGGGCTGCGATCTGTGAAACTGTCGCCACTTTCGAGGCCTGCTGGGGGGCCCAGCACAGTGACGCCACGCGCGGACCCAAATTAGACCTCGCCATCCCTGGGGGGCTGCGATCTGAGATCCCCGCTTTCGAAGTGGCTAGGGTTGCTCAGGGATTGTAGCGAATCAGCTTTATCTAATCCTTGTGCTGTAACCAGTGTCCTGTGAGTCTCCCGAATTCCGTCTGGAGGCATATGTAACCCTCGCTCCGTCATCGCCCCCCTTTATAAAGTGTCCTAAACTATTTGCGCCCCGCGTTTGCGGAGGGGTTGGGTACGTCGCCAGGGTAATCGGGCGTGTCCCCCTACAGGGGGATTTTGGGCGAAAAATGAAACATGCTCAACAAGTACACCCTACTACTCCGAAATAAACAAAAACATCGTCCCCAGGCTATGTTTTACTCTTTTTTGAATATTCCCCCGGTAGAGAGGCACGCCCGACTTACATATAACGTGCCCCTCCCCCTTCCACCTGCTGCCTCCCCCTTCCACCCACGCTGCGACAGGAGGTGGCAAGCTGTGCCAACTCCCCGTCCTATGTCCATATGGTGTGGGCACCGACACTGGCAAGGCGGCTTTGCGTAGAATTCAGAAATGCCAGCCAAAGGACGTCATCACCCCAGTGTTCGTCCTCTGGGGATCCCATTCGGCCCCTCGGACCCTGCAAAGCCAAGCGGTTGACAACCGCGTGAAAGCTTGGTCACAAGGGCCGCGGCGTGCCCAGAGACACGACAACGCCCCCTCAGTGGGAGGATCCTATTGGCTCCTATTGGCTCGGTGGCTGTCCGTTACCGCTGAGCGATAAGGCCGCCAAAACAACAGTACAGAGTGCAAGGACAAATGAATGGGGTCCTCCTCCTCCTCCGCCTCCTCCTCCTCCGCCTCCTCCTCCTCCTCATCATCATCATCTGCACCATCACCAACACCGTCGTCACCATCACCATCACCATCACCATCATCATCATCATCATCATCATCATCATCATCATCAGCAGCAGCAGCAGCAGCATCAGCATCAGCACCATCATCATGAGCAACAACATCATCGTCATCATCATCAGAATCGTAATCATCATCATAACCAACAGTTTTATCATCAGCATCATCATCTCTAGCATGTGCTCATAATCGACATCCTCATCAGCATCATCAGCATCCTCATCATCATCAGCAGCATCATCAGCATAATCAGTATCGTCATCACCATCCTCCTCATCCTCCACCTCCTTCACCTCCACCTCCTCCTCCTCCTCCGCCTCCTCCTCAGCAGCATCATCACAAACAGCGTCATCATCATCATCATCATCATCATCATCAGCAGCATCATCATCATCATCATCATCATCATCATCATCATCATCATCATCAGCATCCTCATCATCCTCATCATCCTCATCATCCTCATCATCATCATCACCATCATGATCATCATCATCATCATCATCATCATCAGCATCAGCATCATCATCATGAGTTTCATCATCAGCATCATCAGCATCAGCATCAGCATCATCAGTTTCATCATCAGCAGCATCATCATCAGCATCAGCAGCAGCATCACAAGTATCGTAAGCATCAGCATCGACATCGTTCATCGTCATCATCACAAGCAGCATCACACAAGTTCCTTTATCGTCAGCATCATCATCTCTATCATCTGCATCATCATCATCATCATCATAATCCTCATCAGCATCATCATCATCATCAGCATCATCATCAGCATCATCATCATCATCCTTCACCTCCTTCACCTCCTCAGCCTCCTCCTCCGCCTCCTGCTCATCAGCATCATCACCAACACCGTCAGCATCATCATCATCACCATCATCATTAGTATCATCATCACTACCATCCTCATCATCATCGGCAGCATTAGCATCGTTTGCATCAACATCATCATCATCAGCATCAGCATCATCACCATCATCAGTATCATCATCAGCGTCATCATCATCCTCATCAGCATCAGCATCATCATCATCATCATCATCATCATCATCATCATCATCATCATCATAATCATCATCATCATCATCATCATCATCATCACCACCAGCATCCTCCTCCTCGTCATCCTCATCATCATCACCATCATCGTCATCGTCATCAGCATAATCAGCATCAACACCATCAGCATCGCCATCATCATCGGCATCAGCATCAGCATCATCATACTCATCATCGGCATCATCAGCATCATCCTCATTATCATCCGTATCCCTATCCTCATCATCATTATCATTATCATAATCCTCCCCCTCGTCCCCCATCCCCCTCCTCCTCGTCCTCCCCCTCCTCCTCCCCCACTTCCTCCTCCTCCTCCTCCTCCTCCTCCTCCTCCTCCTCCTCCTCCTCCTCCTCCTCCTCCTCCTCCTCCTCCTCCCCCTCCCCCTCCTCCCTCTTTCCTCCTCCCTCTCCCTCCTCCTCCTCCTCCTCCTCCTCCTCCTCCTCTCCTCCTCCTCGTCCTCCTCCTCCCTTCTCCTCCGTCTCCTCCTCCTCCCCCTCCTCCTCCCCCTCCCACTCCTCCTCCTCCACCTCCTCCTCCTCCCCCGCCTCCTCCTCCTCCTCCTCCTCCTCCTCCTCCTCCTCCTCCTCCTCCCCCTCCTCCCCACCTCCCCTTCCTCCTCCCCTTCCTCCTCTAGGCATATCGCCACGGCCGTGCACTCGCCCGCACTGCCCTGGCAGCGCGGAGGTGGCCGGGATAGGTCAGCAGAGCCTCGCTCCTTTCTGTCCGTGGCCTGCGAGGGAGGGAGAGGGAGAGAGAAAGACAGGGACAGAGAGAGAGAGAGGGAGAGAGAGAGAGAGAGAGAGCGCGAGAGACAGGGAGAGAGATAGAGAGGGAGAGAGAAACGGGGAGAGAAAGAGAGAGAGAGAGAAGGAGAGAAAGAGAAGGAGAGAGACAGGGAGAGCGAGAGAGAGAGAGAGAGACAGGGAGAGACAGAGATCGGACAAGCAGACAGGCGTCCCGTCGACAGCTGGCTACTGCGGTAGCCAAGGACGACATTGCACGCTTAGCGGTGGTGCCCACCTTGGGTCGGCGGCGAGCAAGGGGGGAAATGAAAAAGGGGGCGGTCCGTCTCAGCAGGCTCGGATGTCCCCCCCCCCCGGCCTTCTGAGAAGCCCCGCCGCCTTCTGCGAAGGCCTGTTCCTTCTCACTTCCCCTCCTCACTCGCTGCCGAAAGAGAGAGAGAGAGAGAGAGAGAGAGAGAGAGAGAGACACACACACACTTTTTGCGTCGGCGGCTAGGCATTGAGTCGGTGAGTTCCCTCAGAACTGTAGGGGGGGCCAAATCAACACCGATCGGCCCTCGCACTCTGTTTGGTCACTCGTTTTCATCACTCCAACTCGTAGGTTCAACTCGCTTTGGCCACTCAACTGGTGGAGTTAACACCTCGAGTTAACATATGCATTCAACTTCCTTTGTTTTTTCATTTTTCATATGACTTTGATCTGCTATCCAATATCATTGGTAAATGTTGGAGCATACATCGGCTTGACACCGATGAAATCACTGATCGGGTCACCTGTCGAATCATCGATCGAAACATGCATCGATTCGCACGCCGACTCAACAATCTAAAACTATATCGAACCATCAATCGACCAACATTGCGAATCATCTATCATCTCGGCGCGGGAAGGAGGGATATCGGGAGAGAGGGAATGATGGGAGAAGCGGGGGGTGAGGAGGGAATGGCGGGGAGAGCGGGAAAGAGGGAGGGAGGGAGAGGGGGAGAAGGAGGGAATGATGGGGAGAGCGGGACAGAAGGAGACAGGAGAGGGATATGAGAGGCGGAGGTCAACGGGGGGAGGAGACGAAGCGGGGGAAAGCGTGGGGGGGGGGGGGGGGCAAATCGAGGAGGGGGGCATAGGAAAGGGTGAAAGCGTTTACCCCCTCCCCTTCTGTCTCCCCCATCTCAGCCCCTTTTCTCATGTTTCACTCTACTCTCGCCGCGGGCGCCTCGCTCCTCCTGTAGATTACGCCGTAATCACAGAGCCCTGCACGGTTGCCGCGGCCGACTCGAAACCAGAAAGTGCCAGGCCTCATCCTCCTCCCCCTTACTCCGCCTCCCCCACTCCTCCTACCCATCCTAAGCCTACTCATGATCACCCTAGTCACCCTATTCGCTCGCCTACCCCTCATGGTCATCATATTCATATGTTCCCCTACTGATCCTAGCAAGTCCCCCCCTCCCACCCCCATCGCAATCATCATAACCACCCTACTCCTCGACGTCATTCTACTCATACCCATGTGTCCGTACTCCTCCTAACCAGCCCGTTCCTGGTCAAACTCCTCTTACTCATCCTACTCCATGTCCTTACCCCTACCCGTCCTACTCATCCTACTCACTGATCATCCTACTCGATGTTAAAGCTAAGCGTTGCTCATCCTCCTATCTGTACTCCTCTTCCTCCTCCTCTGCTGCCTACTCACTGCTTCTTACAGCGTTTGAGCCCGACCTGCTTCGGCGGCGGGCTCGCCTCGCGCTTCGCCGCCGTCAGCGGCGCCTTCGAAGCGCTGCTGCCGCCGTCCGCCGAGCCCTCGGCGCCGCCCCTCTTCGCGGGCGTCTGGAGGCCGAGGCTGCTGCCCGACGCGCCCTCGGCGATCTCCTCGCGCGGCGCCCCCTCCGCGCCCGCGCTCTCCGAGACCGAGAGGGGCGCCATCACCGCGAGCTCGTCCCAGAAACCCTCAGGGATATATTTGTTCTTAGGCATCTTGTGCTTGAGAGTGAAGGCGCGCGCCTCCGACGGGCCCGTCGGCTTGTTCGCGAGGCTGCCGAGGAGCGACACCCCGCGAATGACCACCGTCAGCTGGGACGCCTTCGCCTGGACGCGGCGTCAAAGAGGCGCGCGTCGCACAGGCGCGACGCGACGCATCGGGGCCCAATCCAAACAGCATCGACGATGCCGTCTGCATGAGGTCCCGACGCGGCGCGCACGACCAGTGCTCAACGCCTCCCTTTGGGCCCCTCGTGGCCAGCGAGGCCATGGCCAGAGCGATCGTCGACGCGGTGATATCGTGGCCCTGGATCCTCGGCGTGATGCCCAAGCTGTGAGCGGCCGCATTGACGTCGGCGACGTCATGGCGCAGCTTGTTGTGGGCAGCCGCCACCTTATCCAGCTTGTTGAAGAAGAGCTTCGTCGCCAGCGGTAAGTTGAGCTTCCTCGTCTTGTCGAAAGCGGCCGCCCAGCCCACGTACTCCGAGCTGCATGCCGTCGTAGATGCCTTCATGCAGTCATCCATGATGGTGAGGAGCCTCTCACGGCAGTTATTGCTGAATGTGCCCATCGAGTGAGCCCACTGCCTCGCCGCATTCAGATTGACGCCAGTCGTCCACCCATCCTTCTCAATCGCGTAGGCGTCCTTGTTATGGAGCAGGGCGTCGACCTTCACGAGGCAATCTGCAAGAAGCTTTAAGACGATTGTTATCCGAGAGCAAGCGCGCTCGTGGGATACGCCCTCAACGTAGCCAACCTCTGTGAGCAGCATGCCGTTCGCGGCCGCAGCGCACCCGACGAGGTCCCTCATCGCATTCATGATGGACATGTAGGCGGTAGCGTGACGAACTGGAACCTCGACCACCTCAAGGTTGGACACCTTGACCATGCCCTCGGCCTTCAAGTGCTCCGTGCTGCTTGCCTCCAAAAACAGTTTCAGGTCGGTGAGGGCCGCGTTGTACTTCGTTGAAGTGAAAAGCATCGTTGTCACTCCCTTGTCCAGCTTCTTCGTCATGCACTCTGGGATGAGGCCCTTCACGTCCGCCACGCCGCGCACGAGGATTTTGAACAGCTCGTGGCCATTCGCCTGCTGAACCACAGAGTCGTGGACCTCGCCGATCGTGAACTCCAGCTTCTGCCCCAAATCATTCAGGTGCTTCGAGACAAATCCTGCCATGCAGTCGTCGTATATCTGCTTGCCTGTGGAGGGCGGGGCGCGGGGGGCCGAACAACCTCTACCTCCTCCCTCCCCCATCCGACGAACCTCAGCCTTCCCTCGCCCACTCCCCCTCCGCTCATTCGTCTTAGCATCGCCTACCTCTTCTATTCCTCTCGGCCTCCTCCCTCATCATGTCTTCCAGGACTCACCTCGCGACCTTTCCCTTCCGAATCGTTGCTCCTCCCACGCCCCACCGCCGTCCCTCCTGCACCTAACCCTCGTCATCATCATCATCATCATCATCATCATCATCGTCATCCTCGTTGCGCTGATGTCGGTTGATGTTGCTAGCTATCCCCCCTGCCCTCCTGCCATTCGCCTTGCGTTGCTGCCCCCTCCCCCCTCCTTGCGATTGCGTTGCCGCTGCTGCCCGCCCCCCCGCGCCCCGCGCCCTAACATCTCCCCCGGTTGCCTACGCCATCGCAGTGGGGAACCTAAGATTACAGCCGTCCTGCCTATACAGTCCGCGAAGGTCTTGAACGCGGTAATCGTCTGCTTCGGGATCTCCGAGACCGTCGCCACGCTCTTGACATCCCACGGGAAACGCTCAATGTCCGACAGGTGCTTTGCGAGGCCAGCAAACTCGATGAACTTCGCAGAGTCGGTCGTGACCTCGCTGCCCTTGAACCTATCGGAAGCCACGCCGATGCAGTAGGAGATGTACGTCGTCATGTCGCTGATGTTGAAGACCGTCGAAGTCTTCGAGCCCTCGAACGTGACAGCCGTCATCTCAGACTCCTCGAAATAATCACTGACGGCCTTCCCAGCGCGCTCGAAGAGCTGCCTCAGGACAGCGACCCAGCGGCTGTTGAGCTCGACCAGCTTATCAGCGGAGATGTTCGCATTCTGCTTAAACTCCTGCAGGTGAATTTTGAAATCGTCCATGCCGTCAGCCGAAAGAGCCGACGCCTCCTGGTCAACGCTGCCGTTAGAATCACAGATAGCCAACTTCTCGCTCGCCCTGAGCAAAGTCGCAATGTCGGTGGCGCACGTGCCGAAGTTGATTGCGAAGCTATCGTAGAATACATGGACGTGCATGTATAGAACAATGTCGATGAGGACCTTGCAGTTGGTCATGGACGACCCGAACTCCGCTAAGTTTTCCTGCAATGCAGACGTTGACCACTTCGCCAGGGAGTGGGAAATACCATTCAACAAAGTCGTCATGCCAGCGTACTGCTTCGTGAGATGGTCCAAGCTGCCATGCTCGTTGCACTCGCGCGCCAAGAGGTCCCTCCACGCGTGGATGTCTTTGAACGCCTGGTCGAAGGTGTCCTCGAACTTGGCGACCGCCTGGTGAAAGAACTTCGTAGCGTTGTCGTCCTCGATTTTTTCTCGACGTGAACTCTGGAAGCTTCCATCGCGCCCTGGGGGGGCCCGAAAGACTTCATGACCCTTGCCAGCTCCGTCATCGGGGTGCTGGGGCCGACCCTGATGCTGTCCAGCACCGTCCTCCTTGCAGCGCGGACGTCCTTCGACGCGGGTCGGCACTGCTCCACAGTGCAGAGGCACTTCACGATGACGTCGATTGCGTGGAACACCTTCGTAAAGTCGGTTTCGCCGTCGGCTCCCTCGTCCGCCTCGCTGCACCTGGCATCCCACGCGATGATGCAGTTGTGGACCTCATTCATCAGATCTTCCCTGGGCTGGACCGAATCGAGGACGTTCGCATTGCGGCCCGCCATGTAGCCCTTGAGCGCCTCGGCAACGACGCGCTCGAAGTGGTCGGTGGCGGAGCCTCCCTGTATCACCTGGGTGCTGATGAGGACGGGCTTCTTGGCTGCCTTCATGGGCTTCCTCCCCTTAGGCGCATCGCTCTCCTCTGCCGCGCGCTCATCTCCACCTTCGGTAGGCACCTCGACGACCTCCATGCGATCGGGCTCATCGGTGGCGCGAGCCTTGGCTAACCCGATGACGTCCATGTCGAAGCGCTTGATGGGGCCAGATACGGCGCCACTCCTCTTAAAGTCAGCCTGGAAGATCGCGTACTGAAACACCGATGTGAGCGTCTCGGACAGCGGCACGTCAACCGTCGCCAAGTACCCAAGCAAAACTGAAAAGTGTTCAAGGGTGTCGGCCACGGGGGACTCGTCCTGGGCTTCCAGCCAGGTTTTGATAGATTTGTAAAAAGGCCGACGACTGCCCTGATCCTTTCCAAGAGCTGTTTGTACGCCAATTGAACTTCGTACGAAGCCTTGCCGATGATCTTGTCCTGGTGATTCTCGAGCCGCCTCACCACGGAGCTCACCGTGCCGAGCTTGAAACTGTCATACCAACCATTGTGGCGCAGATCCTCCACGTACCCATTGATCGTCTTCCGAATGCGGCCGGCTGCGACCATCGTGGGGCCCGACGGCAACGCCCCATGGAGCGACAAGTCGGACACAGCAGAGCCGCGGGTGCTGACCTCCCGCTCCTCGATGCCCTCCGCCACGGGCTCGGACGCCATCTCATCAGCCTCCTCGCCGACGGGGTTTGCCTTCTCGGTCATCGTCGGGGGCTCCACGCCTGCGATGGGCAACATGCGCATCAGGCGGTCGTTGGGGCCACGCACGATCACCTGCGTCTCATCGTCGATCTGAGCACCGCGTGCCGATGCCTCGTCGGGGTTCCCCTTGGCAGAGCCTCTCGCGACCCCCTCGGGCTTGACGTTGGCGTCGCCTGCTGCCCCGATGCCGTCCTCCGATTTGGGCATCAGCTCATCCCTCTGCTCCCCCTCCTCGCGATTGTTCTCCGTCTGGCCGTCCATGGTGGGTAGGTTGAGGGCGTCTTCGCTGTTGAGCAGCTCCACGTCGGGGTCGCACGGCATAACGGTCGGGGCCTCCGTGTCAAACGCGTCCTCGGTCTTCACGCGCAGCATCGCAGCGATGTAGAAACTAAAATATATCAGGATCTCTGGCCTGGCACGGGCGAAATGCAACGGGCGCGACCTCGAATCAGGTTCGAGCCAAAACACCTACAAGGAAAAAAGATGTGGTGCAGGGGGTGCTGGGGAGTCGGCGCGATGGCCAAGTCTCGCGCTGCACTGGCGCCCCCTGGGATGCCTGACAAGTCGCCTTCCACGGCCACGCGCGCGAGCTCTGGAGCAATTGCTGCTTGCCAATCCTGCATTACCGAGAGGGGGCAATCCAAACGACCTGGCTGCGCTGACGGGCCTAGTGAGACGCAAGTGTGGAACATGCAATGTCGGATGGAAGGCCAGCGGCGGAATCGGGGCATCGAGCGCAAGTCAGCGCCACGCGGAGTGGGGCTGCAAGGAGGAGGATGGCAGCATGAGGGTTTGCATGGGGCAATGCGATAGTCATGCGCTACCACCAGGGGCCTGAGCAACCAAAGAAAACATTCTCGGGGCGGAGAAATCCTGTCCGGGGCCGGAAAACGGTTTCGGCCCCAGGGGAAGTTGTCGAAACGCAAAACAAACTCGCCTCGAACGAAACCTACAAAAAGGGCATGGACGTAGCTGTTTCTTGACCGCCCCGTGACACACCAACCCCCTCTCGTCATGATCCTTCTCCTCCTCCTCCTCCTCCGCGGCGCCTCCCCCCTACCCATGCCCCGCCCCGATCCCCTCCCAATGTGTCCAAGACAAAAGCCGCTCGCAAATAATAAGTCCCTGAAACTATGGCCGAGCGCGCGCGCTTTGCACTTCGGGCCCAATGTAACCGTAGAGCACGCGAGCACAACAACTAATATGATTAAAACAGGAATGCTTATGCGAAGCGAAGAAGCAATATATTTTTTGAAGAAAATCGTTTAAACGCAAGAATACAAGCTGGCGCCGCGCCTAAGTCAGTCTAGTAGAACCAAAAGCACGCAAACTGAACCCGAACGCACGCGCGACGCTGGCGCCCATGACAAATGAGTCGGTACGTCTTGACACCAGAGGCGTTGCGTTGCCTCAGGGGCGTGCCGAACCATGTAGTCAGTCCACCGTGGGCTTTTATCTCAATGAAGACATACTCTAGACCGCCCTGCTCACACGTTAGTCTAGTGGAATCCACGAGCCCGCCCTGTTTTGACTACTATAACGCATTTCCTTAACATTATCCTACCCAATGAATTGCGTCGCTTGTAGTTGTGCGCCTACACATGTGCATATGATACGTGAGTGCGCACATGCAATAATACACCAGCGTTGCAAGAGACGACGGGGCCGAGGTATCAAGACCTCTTCGAGACTTCTGATGCGAGAATCCAAAAAGCTTCAAGTCTCAAGGAATTGGATTCTAATGGCGTTCGCTTCTCCGCGTGTGTCATGGTCAAGCGGTCAGCTCTGCGTTAGTTGGTGCAGTCGGGTTAAAGTCTAACTGAGAGCCACAGACAATTGGGGGTTGGGGCACCAGGGCCTTGGCGCGCGAAGGTCCGATTGTCTCCCGAATGAGGGGGCCTGGTGTCGGGGGGTCTATGGGTTGTAGGGACATAGCGCGGGAAGGTGCGAGAGTCTCCCGATGTTGGAACTTGGCGCATGGAGGTCCAGAAACTCCAGGCCCAGGAAGTTAAGTCGGTTGGAGTGCGACGGCCTCAGTGGGGCATTGCACTGCGGCCTGAGGTCTCTAGGATGTCAAGGTATTTAGGAATCATTGTAATGGCGCATGATTGTCTTCGGGCCGAACTGCACTACCATTCTAAGTCCTCAAAGTATTCGCGCCTGATGGCTCCAGAGTCTCAGCGTCTAAGGGCCCCAAGGCATTCCTGCCCTAAGGCATTATGGCGTCCGCGTAAAAGTGATATATGGCATTTGCACGTCGCGGGTTCGATGTGGCAGTGCACCGCGGTAACGGTGCGCGAAGGTATTCGAGCCATCGGGCCTTCGGCTCCCAAAGCGCCAACGTCTTAGCGCGTCAATGTCTGAGTGCATCTGAGTTCAGGGCCCTCGGGTCGCTGGTCGCCTGGCCCCGTGGCATTCGGGCAGCGCGGCCTTGGGGCCATGGGCCATTGGCACCGCAGAGTCTCAGTGTCAGAGGGCACCATGACCTCGGGGAATTCGGGCATCATAGTTCTGGGCGCCACTGCATCTAGGCATTCATGCACAATGACTGTCTGATACGATGGCACTGTCGCATGATGGCATCAGTGCACAAGTGAACTAGACCATTGCTGCGTCGGGGCCGAAATGTCTCATGCCGCATATATAAGTACTGACGACTTGCGAGCTAGAATCTTTGATGAGTAGGGCATGCGTACGTTTGGTTATTGTGCTCCAGAGGTATTAAAGTCGACGTGCGTCAGGGCATAAGGCCTTGGGGTATGCTGGCATCAACGCACGAGCGGTATTCGTGCATTTTGTTCCAGCGCATCAGGGTCTGATGCTCCAAGTGCCCGATTGCGTTCGGGCATGGAGGTCCCATAACCCCACTGGTAATTTTACGCTGGCGACCGAGGTCACGGCGTTTTCATGCCCGCGGACATTCGGGCCTCATCGCCTTTGCGCGACTGCGTGACATTGCTTCCCATGTAAGAAGGCAGTATCGCTTTAATGTCATAGGGTGCCACGACATGTAGGTATCGGGGCTGTTCTGGCGTTGGGCGATAGGTTGCGATGTGATCAGTAATATAACCGCGGTATTCTGGCATTTGCGCACTCGTGAATGACGGCATTAAGCAGTTCGGGTGTTAATATATTCGGGCAAATGCCATCGGGCCCCATGGCAATGATGACCGATGGGCCGAGGTTGCTCACGTATGAATGCGGCAATGCGTTCGGGCCCTGGAGCGCGAGAGCCTGAGAGCCTGCGGCACTGGAGTCTGCTGGCTTGCAGTTCGCAAGGCCGATGGGAACGCGGGGCATTGGGGCCCTGGCGCGTCAGGGTTAAGGCGATCTCTGGACACTCGCGCGTCAGTGCCGCAGCTCTTCGCGCGGGAAGGCCCCGCGGCATTGCTGCATTAAGGTCTGCAAGCACACGCGCCGCATTGGTTGAGGCGCGCCGACGCGAATTCTTCGCGCGACGCTGGCCGAAGCCCAATCGCGGCAGCACATGTCGCACCGCCCCTTAGTACCCTAATCGGCGGGTGGCCAACAACGCGGGCTGCGCGGTCGCGCACTCGCGCATGGGCCGCCGACGCCCCGCGGCATGCGCCGCGCCCGAGCCGCGCCCGTTCGGGCAGATCCCGCGCGCGAGTCTAGTCCCCATTTGCGCGCAGCGCCTGCCGCGCAGGAGCCCCCAACAGACGCCGACAGCTGGCAGCGGGCAGCCGATCCGCGGACGCGCCGCCGCCTGCGCGCGCCCAGCCCGTCTCGCGCTAGCCTCGCGCGCCGCACTCGCGCGCGCCGCGCGTCCTGCGCGCCGGGCGGCCCGCGGCCCGCGACGCAAGCGGCCGAGCCGACGGAGAGGGTTCGCGCGCGCGCGTCGAGGACGGGGAGGGGGGGGGGGGCTGTGGAAGAATGGGAATTATTGAGCCGCGGTTAACCGATCCAAGCAAGCGCGCGCCTTGCCAGATGTGCAGCGACGCCTGTCGCGCGGCGGTTGCGCGCGCCGCGCTCGCGGCCAATGGCGGCAAGTCCCGTCGGTGACCGCATCGTCGTCGCCCAGCGCTTTCCCTGCCTCTGCGCGAATGCGTGTCCCGAGCACCCATCACCGCAACCGCAACCCTTCGGTTGCTGACAATCCGCCACCCGCGGCGCCAGAGGAAACGCAACCAGCGCCGCTTTGCATGGCTCTGGCTGCCACAGCGCCTGCTGGGCGATCGGCCGCGCGCGGCTGGCTCGGCGTCGCAGCGGTGTCCGCGCGCCCGCTTCGCTTGCGGCCGTAATCAGCTGGGCGGTAAATCAACGCTGAAGAACCAACCGCGCGCGGGCAATCCAATGGTCGCGGCCGACTTCTCGGGCGCGAACCGACCCTGAGAATCAACTCCGCGACGGCGAATCAACTCACTCGTTCAACGCCGCGGCGGCAAGTCAACTCCAGGGGGTCGACTCCGCGGCGGCGAGCGGGCCACGTAGTCAACTTCGCTCACCTCGTCAACTCGTTTAGTCAACTCCACCCGCGTAGTCAGATCGTTTCGTCAACTCGTTTAGTCAACTCCACCAGCGTAGTCAACTCGGTTCGCCAATTCGTTTCGTCAACTTCAACTCACGTAGTCAACTCGTTTAGCCAACTTCAACACACATGGTTCAACCGTCGGATTCAACGCACAACTCGCGTAGTCAACTCGTTTCGTCAACATCAACTCACGTAGCCAACTCGGGTAGTCAACTCCAATACGCGCGGCCAGCTCGGGTGGCCAACTCCAGCGCGCGCCACCGCCGCGCGTCGTCAAATCGGGCGCGTGGCCCCGTCCAGACACAAGCGTCGCTGCGACGCGTGAGCAATGCCTGGGCATGCGGGATGCAGGCTGCCTGCGCAAACAGCACGCGCGCCCGAATATTCGCCTCGGCCGACGCCGACGCGGCATGCCCCCTCGCGCACGGGAGCCCGCAACGCCCCCTTCCCGCCTGAGCGCGGTGCTGACATTCGCGCGCGCAGCCCATCCGTCGCCCAGCTGCGTCGCCCATGCGCGCGGGCCGACGCCGCCCCTGCGTTGGCGAGCGCGAGCTCTGCGCCCGCCTCCTCGAGCCCCGAACGCGTCGAAATGCAGCGGGCAACCCGGGCGGGCGCTCGACCGACCACGCATGCGCCCGACGACGACGCGAAACGGGCCCGAATAAACGCCCTTGGGCGCATCGGTCATGGGGGGAGCGGCTCTGCGAAGCGTTTGGCGAAGGGGGCGGCCGCGTCGGGGGGGCGATGGGGCGCGCGCTACACCTGGGGCGGGCGCGCGAGCGCGATGGATGGACTGGGCGATGGTGCGCGGCGCGCGATTGAGACGCCCGATATTTGCGCTAGAGAGCCGCTGCCGATGAGGCAGGCAAGCGCCGCGCCA